TTGTTTGTGAAGTGAAATGTTTGCAGCATGATGGTCTTGCTCTTACTCCTTTCGAAAGAAATCCGGACATGTGGAGAGAACTTTGGAGGGTTGTTGAACGTAGTGACGTTGTCGTTCAGGTAAAGTTGTTAAGTTATGATGCGGTGTTCCCTAAGAATTATCTTTTTTGGTTATTATTCTACTTGCTACTATGTTCTCAAATAGAAATTCTTTTTTCTTTCGATAGTTGTGCCATAGTTTCTGATTTTTTTTTCGTTATTTTTTTTGTATGTTAATTATGTACATATGCACTAATCTGCAATTTTGTCCAAATGTTCGATCAATTTGAGCTAAAAGGATAATTTTATGTATCCCAGGTACATCTTGTCTCATCCTGAAAAGCTTGCAGATTGTGGATGCTCGTAACCCACTACTATTCCGAAGTAAAGATCTTGATGCTTACGTGAAAGAAGTGGATGCGGCTAAGCAAACTCTTCTTCTTGTTAATAAAGCCGACCTTCTCGAAAAATATCATCTTGAGGAATGGGCGAAATATTTTACCGAAAACAACATTAAAGCAGTTTTCTGGTGAGATTTCTTTCTTGTGCTTTTGTGGCCACCACGACTTCCTTTAAAAAAAAACTGCCTTTCACAGTGCAACTGCATGTGTAGTATTTTGCGGAATTGTTATTACTTGCATTTTACACGAAGTGTTTAAGATGACTTGTTAAGGTCCGCTCTCGACGAGTTGCCAAAAGCTGAAGATAACTTGGAATGTGAGGCAATGCCGTCTACTGCGTCATCATCAGTAAATGGGCAGTTGTACTTGCGGACTCGTGATGAGCTCATACAGTATCTCAAAGACATTGGGCATGCTTCCGACACGCCTGGATCCAAACCCGTGGTTGTGGGAATGGTCGGATATCCTAATGTTGGAAAAAGCTCAACAATAAACAAATTAGCAGGAGAAAAGAAGGTGTCAGTTTCTGCAACACCTGGCAAGACACGACATTTCCAAACGATTCATATAGATAGTCAAGTAAGTGTCTCCTTTCTTCAACTGCAGGTATTTTTTCGTAATTACTCCAATTGAGAATTTCTAATTTCCAGTAG